CATGAAAAGCAGGCAGAAAGCCATTCTGGAGGTGATTGAGTGCATCGACTTACAGGAGATTGTGTGGACTTGAGTCCCTTTCAGGATACAACACTCATTCACAACAAATTGGTCTACACATCTTACCCAAGGCCCACTCCGTTTTTTCCTCCTCTTCTATTCCAGAATGCCATTCTTTTACTTCTTCAGCTGCGGAAAAGAAATACTGTTTATCCTGCAATGATCTTCTGAAATTCCACTTCTTCAGAAAAGGTATCTCTGACCAGTGCTCTCCTTTAAACTCCCATAGGAGGAAGCTTCTTCAGTCGTTTGGTGTTGGCCTTCTGGTTGTGTCAATCCATGACTCTCAATGTCTTGTCTCCTCAGCTGGGTTGTGAAGAGTGGGCTGTCCAGATTATTCTTACCTTTTTATTTTTATTTTTTTTAAAGATTTTATTTATTTATTCGGCAGAGAGAGAGACATCAAGAGAGAGAACACAAGCCGGGGGAGTGGGAGAGGGAGAAGCAGGCTTCCCGCTGAGCAGGGAGCCCGATGTGGGACTCGATCCCAGGACCCTGAGATCATGCCCTGAGCCGAAGGCAGACACTTAACTGACTGAGCCACCCAGGCGCCCCATTCTTACCTTTTTAAAAATTGCTTCTGATTTCTTGCATAGTGTCTTGTCCAGAATTGGCTTGTTAATTGTCTAAAGCAGTACCATCCAACAGAAATATAAGGTGAACCACATTTGTAATTTAAAATTTTCTAGAGTCAGGGGCGCCTAGGTGGCTCAGTCATTAAACATCTGCCTTCAGCTTGGGTCCTGGGATCGAGCCCCACATCGGGCTCCCTGCTCCGAGGGAAGCCTGCTTCTCCCTCTCCCACTACCCCTGCTTGTGTTCCCTCTCTTGCTGTGTCTCTCACTCTCAAATAAATAAATAAAATCTTTAAAAGAAAAAATAAAATTTTCTAGAGTCATAGTGAAAAGAAGTCAAAAGAAACAGGTGAAAATCATTCTAAGAATATATATTACTTAGCCCACTGTATCCCAAACATTATTTCAACATGTAATCAACATGAAAAAACTATTAATGAGATATTTTTACATGATTTTCATTGTACTAAGACTTTAAAATTCAGTGTGTTCTTTTACTCTTCAGCACATCTCATTTTGGTCTAGTCACAAGTCAAGTGCTCAAAAGCCACGCGTGGCTAGTGGCTACCATATTAGACAGCACAGGGCTAAGTGATAATTTGAGGAAATTTACTGAAGCTGTTGATGGAGACTTACATGATAGAAGGAGTTTAGTTTGATTTTACCGCCAATAAGAAGTTTTTTTAATAAGACCGCAATCGCACATCTTAACATGATGAGAATAGAGATTAAGGATACAAATTCATAGAAATCAAGAGAAAGGATTGTTTCTGTGATAAAGAATAAATGGAAGAAGAGTTAGCAGAACTCTATGAACAATGGAACATAAAAACTGAAGGAGAGAAGCAAGTAATCAAGAACTAAGTGTATTAAGCCTGGAGGACCAGGAGAATAGTAAGACGGAAAAAAGAGAGAGAAAGAAAGAGACCAGTCTAAGAAAGAGAGAGATTTGTTTTTAACCATGTAATTTCAGGTGCTGGCAAGGCAAGTTCATCTCACCAGAGACGTAGTCTGGAGCAAGGATGAAAGATGAAGCCTGGCAAAGTAGCTTTTGGGATCAATGCCATTTAGTTGGTTGAGCCTGAGGATCTTAAGATTGTGAAGGCAGATAGAGATAAGAATGATTCAAAAATTTAATCTTAAGAGTTCCATAATTAGCAAGCAGGACAAAAAAAGTGATAAGGATGGTAGGAATAAAATGAAGAGATCACAGAAGTCAAGGTCGGGGAGACCATTTCAAAACAAAAAGGGCCAGCAAGCGGGAGAGAATTTGAGGCAGATGAGAACAGAGCAAAGTCCATTGGATGGGCTTCAGAAGCCATCTCTAAAGCAATTAGAATCTTTGTCAAGCCTGAAGGAAAAAGGAGGATTTACATTAGCTGAGCTCTTTCCCAAACCCCTGGTTTTCAGTCCGTAGACCAACAGGCTGACCAAAGATGTTTGGATTGAGAAAGCTGACTTTTTCCAGCAGATACTGTCCCAGCAGGAATCCTGGCAGAAGGAAACAGAGACCAGCACAGAGGGGTGGAGCTCTGGGTGATTCTTGATTAATGGCCAATGTAAAGAAACCCCAGAAACAAGCCAAGTGACAGGATACAGGGAAATTCATAGGGAGAGCAGCGCAGGATGGAGAAACCATTGCGAAAACATTATTTGGTCTTTGTTAAAAAAGACAAGCAAAAAAATACGAATTTAAAATCTAATTTGTCATTTTAAGGACTTATTTTTTTCCAACCATTTTTTTTCAATATTTTATTGCTTATCTTTAGGGATGGTCAAATATGGAATGTGCCCAGTGGAAAGTTGCCTTTAATTTTTTACACGTTTTTGAAAGGGGAATGGAGAACAACGGTGGATGGAAAACCCTCGAAACTCTAGTGGCCTGAACCCAGATCTAGTCCTTTTTCTCTGTCAAGCCAATTTAACTGTAACACAGTTTCCAGTATCCAAAGATTTAGGGGAAAAAAATGGGGGATTTTAGCTTTGTTTTCACTGAAATAGCTTTGGGATAATGGAGTCAAATTAGAACTAGTAAGAATAAACTCAGGTCTTGGTAGTTAAAGTAACTCGCTTATTCGTGGACACAAGATTTACTTTGGATTGTATTTGGCAAGTGTAGGAATAAAGGGTGTGGAATTTATTCAGCTACAAAAGTCCCTTGAAATTCCCTGCAATTTCATAAAACCTAACAGTTCAGATGCACAAATATTTCTGAAATCTTTGGAAGACAACCACCCAGATCACTCCTGCTGCTGAAAATGACTAAGTTGGATTTTCTGTTTCATCCCTAAGGAGGAAGCGGGACAGATGAAAGGGAAAACGTAGTACACCAGACAGGGTGAGGTAGACCGAGGTGGGTGAAAACATGACTCAACTGGGAAGAGAATGCAAATTCCATTCCGAAGAGCTTGAACAGAACAGCGCAAATGGAAATGCAGAGGAAGATGAAGTCAATATAGCTTAATCCATTTCAAATATTTTGTTTCTATCTATTCTAATTTCCTTGGCTCTCAGAGTCCATCTTAAAGACTCAGATCCGTGCATGTTCCATTCTTTCTACATCTAAACACATTTTAAAAGTTGAAAAATAACCAAAAATAAGACGTGGGGTTCACAGTTAATAACTTCCAACAGGAAAAGGAATACATAAGTCAACGTCTCTAGTGCGTCAAGATAGCTTTCAAACACTGTGCTTATTAGAAAGGACTTGCTCATTTTTGCTTAGAGATGAAATAGCTTTTATTATTCACACACACATACACAATGTGTTCTTGATTCAGGAAGCACCAACATCAGATAGTCAGATTACCAGATAAACTCAAAGACTGGTATTCTGACTAAATTGGCAGTTTCTAAATGTCAGATAGATTAGTTTATCTCAAATCAATGTGGTGCAACCTTATCACAGACTGTCCCTTGAGGGTATTTAGATACAAATATATGGGGAAATAATTTCTTAAATTTAAAATAGCAACATTTAGTTTCTTTAAAAAAAAGGTGGAAAATTTTATATCAGATCCCTCACCCTTAGAAATTAAACAAAGTATCTGAAGTCTTTCCTTTACCCGTTGGTGCAACGCCTCCTAACCCTTATGGGACTGAGTAAATTTGGTGTCAGAATCAACATGTGTCATATCCCTCTATACCATTAATGATCCGTTGCACAAGGACTCTATTTTATACTGTAAAACTAAGTTTATATTGATAAAAACTCTATTACATAAGACATTTACTAGAACAGATAATAAATATCCTTGCAGTCCGGTGCTATTTAGACTTCTAGTTCTTCAATGAGGTCCATTGACGGCTTCAAGGAGATAGCTGAACTCTGGAAATAGTCATTGAGATTTTGTGCATGTAACATATTTTGGAGTGAAGTCCCAAATCTTTAATCAGATTCTGTTAAAAGACGTTAAGAATGATTTAGAACACCATATTAAAAGTGTATGTGTAAAGCAGCAATATGAATCGGCGCTTTGCCAAAGTTAATAGCATTACTAGTAGAGGAATAAAAAGATATTTAGCATAATATTAAACAAAATAAGGTAGATCTTTCTATCAAACAAAAATAATAATATACACTCACTGTTCAATTCAGGCAGGCCAATGTTTTGCCTCCTTTCAGATTAAAATTAACAGAGTTTCACATTGTGACTTCAATCTTATCAGAGACTCCTAAAGCAAACAATAGCGCAGTATGAGAAACCTTGATTGTGTAACTTTTGCTCTGGTTTTTTTTTTTTTTTTTTGGAAATAGCAAATGTCATTTTCTTATTGCCCACCTTCAAACAGTCATGACAACCTATTTACATTACTGGAATTTTCAGAATAGCAACTGTACATTTTTATAAACTTTCACGGTTTTTAGTGAAGTAGTACTATTTGACAAAGCTTCTATTGATGATTATCATTGGTATGTTGTTATTATTCTTGTTTACAAATTCTTCTCAGAATGGACGGTAAACGGGAGACAAAAACCCCACTTGGAAGAACTCCACTTAGAGCTTTGGCAACGCCCCTGAGGCTGGGTCCTCCAAGGAAAGCAGGAATTCAGTTTTCCCTCCTGGGCAACCACGCTTCACAGGCCCGACGCCCCAGGAGCCGGCCTCGCGCCCCGCGCCCGCCGGCCCGGGCCCGGGGGAGCGCACGCCCGCGAGTGCCCGGGCTCCAGGCCGCGGACCGACCCCGAGGCGCAGCGGCCAGACACCGCCTACCCGAAGGGTTGGCCCGCGCTGCCGGGACTGTCCGGACGCTCTGCGGCCAGCGCGGGGGAGGGAGGAGGCGGCACCGCCCTGCCCCGCGCCCCGCCCCCGGCGCGGCTACACAGAGGGGCGCCCACGTGCCCAGGCCGCCTTCTGCAGCGCAGCGGCCCGGGCGCTCCTCTCCGCGCGGACCAGCGAGGCGGCGGCAGCTCCTGCAGCCTCCCGGAGACGCGGGCCCCCGACACGCTCCAGCCGCTCGCCCACCACCGCCCCCTCGGCGCGGCCTTAGCACTGCCCCAGTAAGTTGCCTAGTGTCCGGCCACGCGGAGGGGCCGCCGGCGAGGGGCGGCCTGGGCGCCAGGGCCGGAGGGGAAAGGGCTGGGTGGGGGCGCGGAGGGCCGCGTTCCGTCGCGCGGCCGCGACTCGGACACGGACACCCCGGGGCGGCGGGAGGGGGCTGCCGCCGCGGAGCCCTGTCCCGAGGGCTGCGCCTCACTCTGGCCGGCCCCGTGCGGCCGCGTGTGCCCCAAGGCGTCGGGGTCCGCGGCAGCTGCGCGGGTCGCGGCGGCTGGGAGACGGCGGGCACTTCCGCGGGAGCCCTTGAGGCACTCTTGGTCCCGGGGGCCCTGGGCACCCATCTCCGGGAGCGCAAGCCAGCCCTCCCCGCCCCCGTTCTGCACACTGAGGGGTCCCTGAAGTCGCCTTCCAGAGATTCTTGGTTTAAATATAGAACAGCGCTTGGAGCTCTGGAAGCCTTCCTTTCGCGTCCTGGACATAGGACAGGTAAAATGTCGTGGTGTGTGTTTGGGGGTAACTTGAGAGTAAATGGGTGCAGTTTGAAACCCGTTTGAGATGGGCTATACTCTTTTAAGCCTATTTCATGCCATCTTCAGCTTCGAACTCGAAATGCCATTCTGGTGTTTAGGCAGTCACCAAGCCCATGGCCTCAGAATATCCGTTCCTCCGGAGAACTTTCTGACATGCATTTACGCGTATACCCAGTCCAGGGAGTAACGTCTTCGGAGATGGCATCTTAAAGATACTTAAAAATACGCTCACGCGTCCTACGAAACAGTGCCTAGATTTCAGGAGTAAAAAGGTTCAGCCCATTTCGGGCTTTCATGCATTTATGCAGAACTGCCTCCAAAAGCGGTTAGTTGACTGTTAGTACTGGTAATAAGGTTTATCTAGTCGCCCATGTGCAGAAACATTCATCCTTTTAATGAGGGAATATCGTCAGATTTTATTCAGATAGAGCTCTCTGAATGCTGGCGGGGGCTAGCATGTCAAGTTAGTGTGTTTGTGGCCTCTGACTTGATACTCTTGCACTCTTGCCCCAGCCAGTCCTTAAAACTTCAGTCACCTCTTTGCCCCGTAAGCATTTATAATAATCATCTCCCCAGGAAATTGCAAGCGGTTGTGTTTGTGCGCTTTTTCTAAGGGATGTACGGGATAAGAATAGTTTAAGTGTATACTTTGTGATAGCTGCTTTTTCCCTTTGTAAATTAAATCCTTTTTTCTTTTAGTTGCACTAAAGCTTGATATGAAATGTTTTGGTGCAGAAGAATATATGCATTTTCAATTTTTTTCCTTTACTAAAAAGTTCCTAGTTGGCTACTCTGGGTTAACGCTGAGAGGCCACATTATTTATTAGGATTTTTTTCAGTTTTCTCCTTTGCCCTCACTTGGTTTCCACATTGTGACTGACTGGGAAACGTCATTTACCTTAGGGCATTTTAATCTTTAAGGGTGTGCCTTGGCCTTGGAGGCAGAGTAAAACTCTGCCTGCTATCTCCTGGGATTCAGTTTGCAGAATCCTTGGCCTCTTTAGCATGTCATTGGCAAAACCCTTTTGATTCCAAAGTCTCTAATGATTATCACTGGACTTAGAGTCTGTTAAAGAGAATTAGAGGCTGGGAGGGGAGATGAAGGTAGCTGTTGGAGTTTGAAAAGACTTGAGAATACCCTGGAGTTTCTCATCTTACATTCTCATATATTTCTTTTTGAATATATGTGCCTAAAGAATTTTCAGAGTCTTGCTTTCCGCTACATACCTGCTCATCTTTGCAGAGTGGGAGTGCCTGGTCTCCATTCTGCATGGCCCACCTTTTGTTGTCTTCCCATGCCTCCTTGCTGAAGTTCTCATCGCTTCTCTCGGCTCTTCTGGCCAGACCTGAGCCCTCATCTGTGGCTGTTTCTGCTCTTTTCAGCCCACTTTTCAAAAGGGCTTTCTCTCATAGTTTTCCTTTGGTGACTTCTCTGTTTAGCCTAGTTTCTGTCTTCTCTTCTGTTTTATTTGCTTGCTACTCCATTTATCCCTAGCTGTATACCTATATAAGTATTTTTTTTTTAAGTGTTCAGGGCCATCTGCTGGTTTTATTTTGATGCCCTTCAGTGACCGACTTTTAGACCAGAATGTTGAAAACAGCTTATATTGCTATTTGCTTTATTATTTCCCCAAACATAATATGAATACATGGATTTTTAAAGACTGGCTTCTTGTAGACCACTTACTGGATGTCAGGACAAAAGTGAAATTTTCATTTGGATATATTTCTAAATATTCACATATTTAGTACTGTGTGCCTCATTTGAATGTTTTGTCATCCAACTGAATATTGAAAAACTCAGTTAACTGTAGGATTTCCCTTATGTGATACTCATCTAAATGGTTTGGAAAATCTGTGTGGTCAACTCATTTCTATACCTTTGATCTGAGTATACAAAACCATACTGATAAAGCCTTGATTAAAAAAAAACCTAATGAAGTAATTCTTTTCATTGTCTTCTGTTTTAATAACTTTTCATTCTATTGCCTAACGCAATGTCTGCACATAACACATGCTCAGTATGTCTTATTGTTGAGTGAATGCCAACTGATTTCAATAATTTGAGAAAGGGTGTTATGTATGTCTTTGAATATATATTCCTTCATTGAAAATTACTGTGTCCCTACTCTGTACCAGGCACCGGACAACTAAAAGTAATGTGTAGCTCTGATTCTGGAAGGATTCTTCAATTAGTTTTACATTTGGGAAACCCTTCACTATGGATTTATGAGTAGTTTTTTTTGTTGTTGTAATTTTATATAAAAACAGTACCTGTAAACAGATGACTTGAGTACCATCTACACCAGAAAGCAAGTAAGGAACACACTTTCTCATACATGGAGATGATGCTGCTTACGTAATTCCATCATCAAAAGCACTTATGCTTGGCATTTTCGTTTTACTGGTAAAACGTATTTACTATTCTTTTATTTGCCTTTTTGGCTGTTGTTTTAGAAGTGATGTTTGTGTCTGTGGAAATGTTGTAGATGCCATTGACAAAACCAAACCAATAGTTGGGGGTTCATTTCCACCAGACTCTAAGTAGCCAACCAGGTTCTCAGTAGCTCAGTTAAGATAATCAGAGCATGACTTATCCATTAACTTTTCTTGTCCAACTTAATAAACATATATTGATCTGTGGAAGCATGCAGTGCACTACTGTTTTTCTTGTGCTTATGGACTCTTAAACTTTAAATATTTCTGGGAATAGCCTCTATTGCTATTGAGTTAACCTTCTCATTGGTAAGTACCATCAGTATTGACTTTAAGATTTGAGTTAAAGTGGTTTTTATTTAAAAGGCTGGGTTTAAATATGTGGGTTGCATCTCTTGGTTCCTATTTAGACTTTTACTTTGGTTCTCTCTGTTCAGGGAAATCTGTGGTTCCATTTTTCTGGGTGTGTATGGACATACGTTGTTGAGACTCTTGGGGTTTCTTACATCCAAGATGGAATCATCAGGCTACAGTGTCCTATGTGATGATTTCATTCTGCAGATGTTATAAATTTGATTTTATGCCTCTCTCCATCCCCCTTCAAAAAATAAAATAAATAAAAAACAAAATCCATACTCATTTCTGGTGCCTCATGTTAGTACCTTTCTTCAGAACGTGAGCCAATCTGGGATTCGGCAGTGAAGCAGATGATATAAGAACATTCCTTAACCTTTCAGGAGTTTAAAAAAAAAAAAAAAGCCCTATGTTGTATTCATTTTTGGAATATTTTTGAACAATACACAGCAAAGAATTTTTATGTCCTTTGTTGATTCTTGCTAGTTTTTCCCACAGTTCTGGGGAAAATTCTTTTCTTTCCTTAACCCAGTCTGGCTTCAGGAAGCCTCCCTAGGTCTTTATACAATTATATGTAATACAATCCTGTTTATGCCGTCAAAGCCTCCTTCCTAGTGAGCCTAGTGATCATGGTGGATGGAACTTCATGTCACAGGGGATGCTGAATGATACTGTAATTAAGAGGCTCTCATTTTATTCTTCTACTTTTTCCCCTCCCCTACTTTTTTTTTAGTTCAGATTTTAAGATAAGTGGATCTGTTCTACTTAAAAATGAATGATTGTCTCTTCAAAAAAATCAAGAAAGAAAGTACACCTTAAAGCTTATTTTTTATTCATTTTACTTCTGTGTAGACCAAAAAATGTTACAGGAGTTGGTACTTTGATCATTAGTGATAAAGATTGGTTGGTTAGGGTCTTTTCTTGCCTTGGCTCTGGGTATCTAGCTGTCATTTTGGTAAACAATGATAATGACGATAGTCACTGTTGGAATGAGAGAGTGGAGTTAAGTGATAGTGGAATTATGCAACTGTATATTGAAACTTGAGGAAAATAATGGGGTCTCTTTGCATGTTCAGCCTTATTTTTTTACACTCAATATGAGCTGAAGGCAGATTTTCAGAATGCAAGTCAATTTCTTCTTTCAAAAATCACACTACAATCTCTAGAACTTGAAATATATCTGAGTGGTGGAGTGGGAAGGCTTCTCTGTACCATATGCAGAGTTTATTTTCCCAAAGAGTGTGGGTCATAATCCCTCCTTCTCCCCATTACTGCTGTCTGGTTTCCAAAAGAAGGTATGCATTTGGTGGAAACAACTGGATTTCATTTTTGTGAAACTAATATGCAAAATTTACCACTACTCAATGCAGAATTTATAGTATTCAGCAGTTGTGTGTGCATCCAAGTTACTGAATACTGTTTTGATACATTAGGACTGCCTTGGAATAGGAAATACAATTTTGTAATTTTGATTCTAAGAATATCTTATGAGATACTCTATTTGGAGTCTTCCATGAACAGTGGTTAGTTAATCCATTTTGGATGAGTATGTGTTGTATATATTTACTGCCCAGATCTGGAGTCCGTAGAGAAGCAAAGAATAAATAACTTGGTTCCTATTCTCTGGGCATTGACAACTCAGTGAAGGAGTTAACAACTAATCCTACAATGGAAAGAGAATG